CTGCATGGCCCCAGCTCACACCGTGCTCTTCTGTGGGCACATCTGTGGGGCAGTGGGGAGCCCTGTCCCTTCGCCTCACCCCCAGCACCCACTCTCACCCCGGTGGCTCTCTGCTCCCTGCTCCTGACCGTGCTGGCTGAGGAAGAGATTCCCATGCTCTGCACTCCTTCATCCCTGTCCTCTGCCCACCTGCCCCAGGTGTCCCTCTGCCACAGCCTGCCTCCCTCTGCCTCCCGTTGCCATGGTTTTCTCTTGTGCCTCCCCCAGTGCTTCATGAACTCCATCCTGCAGTGCCTGAGCAACACCAAGGAGCTGCGGGATTACTGCCTGCAGAACCAGTACCTGCGGGACCTCAACAACAACAGCCGCATGCGCACCGCGCTCGTGTCAGGTAACCGTCAGTCACTGGCCCTGGCTCTGCTCCCTGCGGGGCTCCCCTGCAGCACGTCCCTGCAGCACATCCTTGTTTCCCTGGGCCATCCCCAGTCCTGCGGGACCCCCACACAGAGGTCGGTGCTTCTCCCCAGCCTCACTGGGGCAGGCGCTGTGCTGTGGGTGCCCGGCCAGTGGGAGGGGATCAGGTCCTCTCTCCAAAAGGGCTGGGACAAGGACCCTGGAGTGGATTGTGGAGCTCTCCCCTGGAGAGCATGGCAATGCCATGCCACCAGAGCTGTCTGGGGCCAGCTGTGCTGCTGACCCTCCTCTCTGCCCACAGAGTTTGCAAAGCTGATTCAGCTGCTCTGGACTTCATCTCCCAATGACAGTGTGAGCCCCTCTGAGTTCAAGACGCAGATCCAGAGATATGCCCCCCGCTTCGTCGGCTACAAGTAAGGGTGTCGGTGGGAGCTGAGCCCCTGCTGCTGCTCACCAGCCGTGCCCTGTGTCTTGCAGCCAGCAGGATGCACAGGAGTTCCTGCGCTTCCTCCTCGACGGGCTGCACAGTGAGGTGAACCGTGTGCTGGTACGGCCACGGGCCAGCACAGACACCCTGGACCACCTCCCGTAAGTGCTGGCTGGGCTGGAGGCAGTGGACGAGCCCCACGGACGAGCTTGCTGCCTGCAAGCCCGGCCCAGGGACAGTGACCACCTGGGTCCCTCTGGGCTGGGTTGCTGGGGCTGACGTCCCCCAGGCCGCACTCAGTACTGCTCTGTCTCCCCATCCCTTGCAGTGACGATGAGAAGAGCCGCCAGATGTGGAGAAGGTACCAGGAGAGGGAGGACAGCCGCATTGGCGGTGAGCAGGGCTGTGACAAGAGGAGGGCAAGGCTGGGCTAGGAGTGGGGCTGGGCACTGGGGGTCTCACCCTGCCCTGCTTTGTCCCGTCCCCACCAGACCTCTTTGTTGGGCAGCTGAAGAGTTCGCTGACCTGCAGCGAGTGTGGCTACTGCTCCACAGCCTTCGACCCCTTCTGGGACCTGTCCCTGCCCATCCCCAAGGTAAAGGGTCCCTGCCAACCCCTGGCCCCCTGCCCTGCACACCGTGTCCCTGACCTGCACTGTGCTCCCACAGAAAGGCTACGGGGAGGTGACCCTCATGGACTGCCTACGGCTCTTCACCAAAGAGGACGTGCTGGATGGGGATGAGAAACCGGTATGGGGCATGGGGTGCGGGGACAGGTGGGCTTGTCTTGGTGCAGGCTGGGCCCCTTTCCAGGCCTGTGTTGCCAAGACTGTGGGCTCGGTGCCCAGTGGGGCTGGCCTCTGCCCTCACCCTCCTGCTTGTGCTGTTTGTCTCCCACAGACATGTTGTCGCTGCAAAGCCAGGACAAGGTGCACAAAGAAATTCAGCATCCAGAAGTTCCCCAAGATCCTGGTGCTTCGTATCCTTCAGGCAGAGGGATGGGGCCAGGGGGTGCTGGTCGGGGGGCAGGCAGTTCCTCACAGGCTCCCGTTTGTCCCTCGGCTCCTTGACATGACCCTCCAGACCTGAAGCGCTTCTCAGAGGCCAGGATACGAACAAGCAAGCTCACCACATTCGTCAACTTCCAGCTGAAGGACCTGGACCTCCGAGAGTTTGCCTCACAGAGCTGCAGTGAGTGCCAGGCCCCACGTGGCTCCAGCCC